GTCAGTGTGCTCCCACAGGGGGAGCACCACTCAGCCAGAAACCGGGCTCTGGCTGAGCACAGTGGTGGTGGCAGGAGCCTCTCCCGCCTCCGCGGCAGCGCTAAGATGTCTGACTGATGGCTTAGGCCCACTCCCCGTGGACATCCCCTGAGGGCTTCTGGACTGTAAGAGAGAGCAGGCTGGGCTGAGGGACCACCCTCTCCCCCCCACTCCCTGAGTGTACAGATTTCATGCACCAGGCCTCTAGTAGGGTATATTTTGAAAAAGTTCAGATGGGACTTGAGGTGGGGTTCTCAGTATCTTTTGGCAAAGGCAAAGCCCAGATTTAGGAAGGATCCCTGTCCGGTTCTGGTTCCCAGGGTATCCTGCTTAAAATGGGTGAGGAAGCAAACACTCCTTGACACTGTGCCAGGGACCAGAGGACAAACATGACCCAGAAGCTGACCCAGGAGCCTGAAGCCAAAGCCGGAGGGAGAGAGATGAGCAAATTGGTCATCATAAAGCAAGAGGACAGGTGCTGCAACAGCCCTGGCCACACTGAGAGGCTGACACTCTGCTCCGGTTAAGCGTTCAGTCCCTGGGATCAGAAAGACCCGGGGTTCAGGCTCTTCTGCTTCCCGGCTGAGGGACCTGGGGGAAGTTACAGAATGCTGCATGTCTTGGTTTCCTCACCAGGCAATGGAGGCACGTTCAGTTCAGGCACCTCTCAGGGTTACTGGGAGGACTCAGAGAGAGGAGGCCGAGTGCAGAGCCCGTGTCTGGCAGTCTTGTGAAATTCAGGGGCCATACAAGGTCCCTAAAAATATTCAGGCAAAGGCTAACTGACCACCATTCCAGAGGAGATTCAGGAGAGTGTAAATGAAAAGGCCAATAGTCAGGAAAACTGGCTCAGGTCCTGCCTCTGGCTACAGATGTGTAATGTTGTGCAAGTCAGTTTTCTTGTCCAGCCTTCACTCTCCAGCTCTCAGAATTTTATCATCATTGGCTTTGAACTTTTGCTAGCAATGGAACCCACCCTTTTGTCAAATGAGATCTTCTGCAATCCCTCCTTCCAGTTTGTCAGCCCAAGGTGTTACTGCTGGACACCCTTTCACTGCAGGACACGGAAGCAGGGCTCCTGGGAGTGGTTTGCAAAGCACTGGGCCAGCCAATGTTCCAGCCCTACCTTAGTTTTCAATTCTATAGACTTAAACCCCTCTTTTATACATGAGGGATGGGAGACTTAAAAAGGGGATTATCCAAGATCTTATAGCTGCTTCTTGGCAATTATATTTAGAACACACAACTCCTAGTCCCCTTCCACCCGTGATTTATCTTAGCATATGTTCCCCCAAAGGCCCCAGTGCTGGCCTCTCTAGATTCTCACCGCGACCCCCACCCCAGAAAAGCACCAGGAACATGACAGATCCAGTCTGAAGCATCGCTGTAGCTTGAGACAACTCGTTTCTCTGTGCATTCCTTTACTCAATGAGATAGATGCTGTTTGTATGGGCTGAGAGGTGAAAAACAGGTATGGCTCAGACTTATGGTTGTCCTACAAACTCTGTTCTCTCCTTTCTCCTTACTACTAGACTCCTTCTTGAACTGCAACTCAGAATAAATGTATGTCCCAGTCTTGTTAGCAGTTACATATGGTGCCACAACTGAACTCTGGCCAATAGAATATAATTGGACATCATGCATATACTTTATGGAACCTGTCCTTAATGGGAGGAGAATACCCTTCACCCATGATGACTGTAGGCATGGTGATTGTACCAACAGCCACCTGGGACCATAAGGTACAAACCACGTGTTGAGAACAGTGCAACAGGACAGTAAGAGCTTTTCTCTGATGGTCTTATGAAGCCTCTTTACCAGCCCCAGACTGTTTCCTTCTGTTCTACAGGCAAGAGAAATAAGCTTCTATTGTTGAAGCCACCATTACCATTTTTCATCAACTCTGTCATTGATTGTAAGACAGCATTATTTTATACATCACTGTCATTGATTGTAAGATAGCATTATTTTATACATCACTAAGAAAAAGAAACCACTGCCAAATAAATGTATACCCTATCCAATTGTATGATACATTCCAACTTCAAAGTTCAAATGTAACACAAGTATGAGTTTTATTACATGAGACGCAGCATTTTGGGTTTTTGTTACAGCGAAGACTAATCCTGATTCAAGAAACACGAGGGAACAGAAAGATGACAAGTTCTAAAGGACATGATAATCATGTAGAGGGAAAAACAAGTTTCTGTATAAAAGAATGACTCATAAAAATAGTAGTGACTGGCCTGTGTTGCTCAATGGTTTGAGTGTTGACCCATGAACCAGGGCACATGCCCGGGTTGTGGGCTCGATCCCCAATAGGGAGCGTGCAGGAGGCAGCCTATCAATGATTCTCTCATCATTGGTATTTCTATCCCTCTCTCCATCTCCCTTCCTCTCTGAAATCAATAAAAACATATTTAAAAAATAATAGTGACACATGGCTCAACCTAAAAAAGTTTCTCCTATACTTCCCAGTCTGGCTTGGACTGACTGGGGAATTACGTATGGCTATTTGGATTTGGCCATCCAGTGAGACTAGGAGATGAGTGAGCCGGGTTTAAGCTGATTGCTAAACCAGCCCCCACTATGTGCGATTCGGCTGTTAGGGCTGCTGACTCTTTAGTTTCTTCTCCCCAATTCTGCAGAGTCCTCCTGGTTGATTTCGAGAAAGACAAATGGACAGCTGATGACCAGGACAAGCTTGCATCTGACAGACTCTCCCTGGGCCGAGATCATAGGGTACTCAAGGCTCTTCCTGCAGCAGCCACTGCTACTACTTTCTGGGGCGACTGGAGTCCTGGTCTAATGCAAAAAAGAGCTGAGCACTTTAGGGTGACTACAGCCCTGGCTTTAACCTGACAATCCAATATTAATGTTATCTGTTGTGATTAAAACATCCAGAGCCAATATGATTAACAACAGGGAAACCTTCCTTATCTAAAGTGGTTGTAAAATGAAGCATCCATTCTCTGAGTCATAAAGCAGGATTCCTTTTATGAGGACGGTCCACTTGATTGTTTTAAAATAATGCAATAACTTGTTATTCTCAGTGCTTCTTCCTTATTTTAAGAATATATTTTTACCGATTTCAGAGAGAAAGGGAGAGGAAGAGAGATAGAAACATGAATGACAAGAATCACTGACCGGCTGCCTCCTCCATGCCCCCTATTGGGGATCGAGCATGCAACCCAGGCATGTGCCCTTGACCGGAATTGAACCTGGGACACTTCAGTCCATAGGCTGATGCTCTATCCACTGAGCCAAACTAGCTAGGGCAGTGCTCCTTTCTTTGAGTGTCTTAAATTTACCAGGGTTCCCAAGGCCTTCACAATTTTGCTGACTCTATCATTTATTGCCTATCTACTCATGTTACAAGTGTTTTACATTTATTATTTAATACATCAACCTCACAAGTTGGTGGTGTCCAACTTTAAAAGTTGGTGGTTCCAACTTTAAAATGGTGGTTCCATTTTAAAAGATAATTAGGGCTCAGAGTTGATTACCTTCCTCAGGATAACACAGCTAAGGCTCTAAACTTAGGTTGGCGAAGGCTGCCATTACAATTGAGTTTTGCAATGTGCTGTAGAAGCAACCTTTTACATGTGAAGTTCTGCTCAGAGTATCTTATCCTTCCATGAAGGTCACGGGCACTGAAGACTTGTGACTATTCTGAGGGAAAGCCTTCTCTAAAAGGAAAAAAAAAGTTGGGGAAGTGACTGGGAGATAAGCATGGTCACTCTAGGCCGTATTTAAACGACACTCAGGCAACTGTCCCAATGGCCTGTGTAATAACCTGGCAACACAGGAACCTCTGTCACTGACGGAGGTGCAGAGGGGTTCCACCGAGACATTCTATAGCAGATGTGAGGGGCTGGGCTTCAGGGCTGCTGACTGCCTATTTCTAATCAAATGTGTCATGTGAGTTTTGGGGGAAGCAATATTTAATAATATTTTACAATCACTTTATAGAAATTTTCTGCTCACCTTAATTTCATGCCTATATTTTCTTGGAAATAAAAAAATTCCCTATAAATTTTTCCTTCACCTTGCCAATTCGGATGAAGATACATCATAATGAATCATGGGAATTTCTTTTATGATCTCGTGTTCTACATAAAAAACAGCCCAGCTACTAAAATGACTGATCCAGTTCTTATGGGCCAGATTTGAATTCTTCCTGGTTTCAACAAAGAGGAAGCCCTACCAAATGGTTTCCTCTGAACTGAAGTACATTAACACAGAGTAACACTTCACATCCAAACTCACTACATTTTCCCCAGATACCAAAGGACAAAGACACCAGGCTAATTTCTTTTAAATTATTTTATTTTTGTGTAAGCTAAAAGGAAATTTACACACTGAAATCTCCAAAGACCTTGGGCATGCACATTACCCTTGTTAGAAGTTCTTCTTTCTACATCTCTCTTTTTTTTTTCCATAGGAATTTCCCCAAACATTTAAAACCCATAGTTTTTACTGTATATACAGCCTAAACCATAGCAATCTATGATTATGTCATTTACACTGTGCAAAATCCTCAAAAAATAGTGGTATGATAGAACAAAAAAAAATCAGTAACAAGTAAATTTCATGGTAAGACATTCATATAATTTGGTCCTTCTCCAAACCAAACTGATTTAAAACAGACACACAATCTCTTTAAACCCCTGCAATCAAGTTCTGACAATGATCCATACCCTTAACAAAGGAGCAATCAATGAAGTACCTTGCAAAAGGTAAAACAGCAATATGCCAGATTGAAAAGATTAAAAAAGAGCACAAAAATTTTAACAAAAGCCAGATCTAAAACAAATCCACCACACACACACACACACACACACACACACACACACACACACACTTAACAATGACTTTGGAGCTTATATATGATAGTAAAAGTAATTCAACATATGATATGAAAAATAGGACATTCAATGCAATCTGAAAAGACTGAAGGGGATTTCACAGACAGTGGAGATTTGAGTTTTTGATTTTCTTTTTTTTTTTTATTTCAAAAGTTTTGTAAGAAGGACACCACCAGTGTATTTCACAAAGACATAAATGTATACACCCCAGCAACACAAAAAGAATAAATCTTCAAAAATGTTCACCCCCGATTATTTACATTTTTTCTAATATAAATTTAGGACTTCAGTATGTAAATAAATATACATTACTATGTATACCTTTCTAGTGTGGCTTACCAACAAATCAGCTGAACTTGAATTTTTTTTAATTACAGCAGGTATGCTTTTGATGGTAGGGGAGGGATGGAGAGAAGGAAAAGCCATTGAAACTGTCCACTTCCTATCTGCTATCAGTCTGCTTTCTCCTGGGAGCTCGTGGAAGGTGTTAACGTGGCTGGGAACATCAACACCTTGGCATGCATGAACGTTAAGTCGGGAAGGCCAGCGATCACCTTGATGGCTTCTTCACTCAGGTGCTCTTCTCTTTTTGGTTTCCTGTTGACAAATGCAAAAAAGGAAGTGTGTTAATGCGACTTTGCTGTGGACCAAATGGGGGAACACCCACTCTCACGCTGTCAGTTAGCAATCTATGCAGACTTGAGCACCTTTTTCTCTGCTGGTTCCTGAACCTCATGATACTCTTGTGTTGTGTGCTTCCTATGCCAGATGCCAAGTCTCTTATGAAGTTGCATGCCTTACTTATGTATGTTCATCATAGCTGGGCATGTACATACAGATATGCACATGTACCGTGTATAGCTCACAGCTTTACTTTTAAGGCTAGGAATATTTTCAGAATGCTACTAAGCAGAAATATAATCCAGAAACCCTAATAACACTTCGCCCAACTGGATTTCCCCCTGCTCCCAGTGAAACTACCAAAACTACCTCAACATAAAACAAAACATGTTTGGCACAGGACCTTGTAAGTCATTTTAACCTCAGGCGCTCTTCATCCCTGAAGGGGAATTCCAGGAGAGAAAGCCCTCAGTTCACAAACACTGGGCCTCAGCCCCAACGGGATGCAGACAGAGGGTCCAAATGCAGCAGCACCAGGGTCGGCTGCTGACACTAAGGATGTACATAGGCAGAGGGGTTGGGAACAGGGGAAATCTTGAAATCCTGTGCGTTCTCTAGATGAAATACATTTTACTACAATGGCCCCAGGTGCTAGAAATGTGCAGTTTGGTGCCTACCACATATATGAAGAACTCTGGGTGACTCATGTCTTCCCAGCAGGTGAGCCACAAAAAATGCCAACAAAACCTCAAATGTGGCACAAATTGAGCACATGATTGTAATCCAACCTTTATTTTTTTTCCAGGAAATTAAATATATTGAAAGAATAGTTATAGTGATAACAATATTGATTTTAAACCAAAGTTCATTTAAAATCATTTACTCTAAAAAGCCTGACCTCTTTTATGATAAAGGATAGTTGGTACTCTATTAGGTGTGACACACGTTATTCCTGCCACCTACGATACATATTTTCTTTGTTCTAGGGATGGGCAGCAGAAATTCAGGAGATAATGCAAGAAAGAGATGCAGACCTTTATTTTATTCCTACATTTTTCTATTGTTACCATTTTTAAATTCAGGCTGAAATCAAATCAAACGTCAGACTTTTAGGACCAAAGTTAAAGTTGTTCAATGGGGCGCAGGGGTCACCTTTAGGCACACTGAAACTATCAGCAGATCAACCAATACTGAACTGAGTTCTAGGGTTTCTCAGCAGAATTTTTTCTGATAAAAATCTACATTTCATTGTACTTAAATAGTGGCCAAACTATTAGGTGGATGTTTATTGGGGAACCAATATCTGCATCATTCTGAAGTAAAAGCAGATTGTTCTCTTTTTAGTTTAAAAGTGAAAAAACTGAAAGTATAAAATGGAAAGGGTTAGCCTCTCACCAAGTCAATCTTAGCATCACCAACGATGGAGTCACTCAGACATTATGTGTCTTCTGATGTGACACAACACCTATGATGCATTCTAGGCAAAGGTTTAACTGTCTTCATCAAACCTCCAGATATCATTTCCAGTTTACAGTAAAGAAGGGGAATCAAGGAACATGTTAAATACTACTTGGACACAGACAAATCCAGAGGTTGGGACGTTCTTGGGCATAACTAGATTGATCATTTTAACAAGCTAATGTTATAAAATGAAAAGCAAAAGGAATCAAGGGTAGCTATGCTGGGTTAAAAGGGACTTAAGAGCCATAATAGCTAGGTACAATAGCATTAGATTGAATGTTGGTTTGGACAAAGCAGAGAGAAAGGACATTGTCAGAGAAATCTGAATATAGCCTGAGTATTAGATGAAATGAAAATTTTTGAAATTGACAGATGGAGATCACTGATTGCAAGAGTAGATTTAATTCAGTATGGACTATAAAAATCTCATTTTTGGTTAAAATAACACAAGTATGTGCATATTTACATAGAAAAAAATCTAAAAAATTTGCTCTAAGAAGTTATAGTGATCTGAGTGGTAAGAATGTGATAATTTAAATTTTTTGTTGGCTTGTATTTTGTAACTTTCTACAACATATCCTACTGCTTTGCAATGATAAAAGGTTACTAACAACAGTAACAAAATTGTACCTCAATGGACTTCCTCATTTGTGGAGTACAATTGGGGTATGGGAAAGGAAGAACCGTCTACCCAAAGAATACTTGGTAAACATTATTCTAGTGTTTCTACCAATTGCCTTATTTCAGAGGCACTACTTGGAGGCGATATGAAGCTGTATTTAAAAATAAGAAAAAGTTTTCTTTGTGCATTTTTCTGTAGTCACTGCACATTGATGTGATCTAGTTTTCTTAAAATATAAGGAAGAACATGCTTATGGAGAATTTGAAAATAAAAAGTTGTATCATGACCTTTTCTCAAATCAAAGGCAGTGGCCTAATTTTCATTTATAGTGTTTCCAGTTAAGATTTATCCTTTTTGTCAAGGAAATACAATTAAGAGTCCAGAAATAAACCTATACATTTATGGCAAATTGATTTTCAACAAGGGTGCCAAGACCATTCTATGGGGGATGAGGGGAAAGAACAGTCTTTTTAACAAACAGTGCTTGTACAACTGGATATCCACAGGCAAAAGAACAAAGTTGGACTCCTATCTCACATCATATTAAAAAATTAACTCAAAATGGATCAAAGAGCTAAATGTAAGAGTTGAAACTATAAAACTTCTTATAAGAAAACCTAGAATGTTCCTGACCTTGAAGTAGGCATTGGTTTCTTAGATAGGACACCTAAAGCACAAGCAACAAAAGATAAATTATATTCATAAAAACTAAGAGACTTTTGTTAATTCTCTTCAATGCGGTGGCCAAGCAGCCTCCCCAGCAGACGCAGAGATGCAGATCTTTGTGAAGACCCTGACTGGCAAGACCAGCACCCTTGAGGTCGAGCCCAGTGACACCACTGAGAATGTCAACGCTAAAACGCAAGAAAAGGAGGGCATCCTGCCTGACCAGCAGTGTCTGATTTTTTGTGGTAAATAGCTGGAGATGGCCCCCCTCTCTCAGACTACAATATTCAGAGAGTCCACCCTGTACTTGGTACTTCATCTGCAGGGTGGCATCAAGGAGCCCTCCCTCCACCAGCTTGCCCAGAAGTACAAGTGCGGCAAGATGATCCGCCACAAGTGTTACGTATGCCAATACTCCTGCCCGTACCCATCATGCTGTCAAATGCTGCAAAAAGTGTGGCCACACCAACAACTTATGCTCCAAGGAGAAGAGTAAATAAGGCCCCTCCACCATCTTCTTGGCCCACAGAGTGGTCTCCCTGCCTGCACCCTGTGGCCCTGGGGCCTTGATAAAGTTTCCCTTTTGTTGAGAAAATTAAGAAACTTTCATGTTTCACAGGACACTATCAAGGATGTGAAAAAACAACCTGCAGAATGACAAAATATTTGCAAAACATATACCTCATAAAGGCCCAGTACCCAGAATATGTAAAGAATTCATATATATATAAAATACGCAAATTAGGCCAGGACGCCATAACAGTCATGACCAGCTCAGGAGGAGGGGCCTGGCATGGGCCCAGAGCCTGAGAGAACAACAGACAGGGTGGCCCACGCCCGGCCCCAGAGAGAACAACCCGCGGGAGGGGGGGGGGGGGGGCCCGGAGTGGAGACACAAACCCGCAGGGGGCCGGGTTCAATTCTGATCAAGGGCATGTACCTAGGCTCCTCCCTGGCCAGGGCCCAGGGCAGGGATCATGCAGGAGGCAACCAATCGAAGTGTGCCTCTTACATTGATGTTTCTCTCTGTCTTTCCCTCTCTCTTCCACGCTCTCTAAAAATCAATGGGAAAATATGCTCATATGAGGATTAAAAAAAAAAAGAAATGTCATATCCTATGAAAGAGACATCTTGAAAATGCCTAAAGAAAGTTGTCATTTTTTCGTGGTGAAGGGACTGGAGTCCGTGTTGATGAAAACACCTTGGCGGCTGTGGCAGGATATCCCCTGAGGGCTCCTGGACTGTGAGAGGGGGTAGGACGGGCTGAGGGACCCCCCCCCCCCAGCCCCAGTGCACGAATTTCGTGCACTGGGCCTCTCGTAATAATAATGACAAATTACCTAATTAAAATATTGGAAAAGTTTGTGAACAGACATTTCTCTAAAGAGAGACAAATGGTCAATAAGCACCTGAAAAGATGCTCAATGCCATTAGCCACCAGGGAAATGCAAATCAAAATGACAATGAGCTACCACTTCATACTCACCGGGATGACTATAATCAAAAAGTCAGGCAAAAACAAGCCTTGGTGAGAATGTGGAGAAATGGGAACTCTTATACATTATCAGTGGAAATGTAAAATAGTGCCACTACTTTGGAAAAACAGTTTGGCAGTTACTCAAAAAGTTAAACAGAGAGTTACCATCTGACCCAGCAGTTCCACTCCCAAGAAAACAGAAAACATTTATCTACACAAAAACTCATAATAGCCGAACCGGTTTGGCTCAGTGGATAGAGCATCGGCCTGCGGACTGAAGGGTCCCAGGTTCAATTCCGGTCAAAGGCATGTACCTTGGTTGCGGGCACATCCCCAGTGAGGGGCGTGCAGGAGGCAGCTGATCGATCTCTCTCATCGACGTTTCTAACTCTCTATCCCTCTCCCTTCTTCTCTGTAAAAAATCAATAAAATATATTAAAAAAACAACAACTCATAATAAATGCAGTAGCATTATTCATAACTGTAAAAAAGTAAAAATAATCCAAATGTCCAGCAATTTATTAATGCAATAGCAAAATGTGGTATATCCACAAAATGGGATATTATGTAGCCACAAAAGAACACAAAGTACTGATATATGCAACAACATGGCTGAACTTGAAAACATTATGCTAAGTGAAAGAAGCCAGGCACAAAAGGCTGCATATTGTATGATTCCATTTATATGAAACTAGAGGCCTGATGCACGATTCATGGGATCGGGCCAAAACCGGCTCTTCGACATCCCCTGAGGGGTCCCGGATTGCGAAAGGGCAGGTTGTGAGAGGGCGCAGGGACCCCACTAGTGCATGATTGGGGCAGGGAGGGACGACGGAGGTTGGCCAGCTGGGGAGGAGGTTGGACGTGGCAGGTTGGCCGCGGGTGGGCTCCAGGGCATGTCTGGCATGTCTGGCCTGTCTCGCTCAGTCCCGATCAGCCGGACCCCAGCAGCAAGCTAACCTACCGGGTCAGAGCATCTGCCCCCTGGTGGTCAGTGCACATCATAGCGAGCAGTTGAGCAGCCTTAGCATATCATTAGCATATTACGCTTTGATTGGTTAAAAGGCTGACCAGTCATTTAGTATATTAGGCTTTTACTATATAGGATAGCCAGAATAGGCAAATGCAAAGGAAAAAAGCACTTTAGTGGTGGCCGGGGGCTGGGAAAAGTGGCTAGTGAGTATAGGGTTTCTTTTAGGAGTGATAAAAATGTTAGGGAATTAGATAGTGGGGATGGTTGTGCAACCTCATGAATATACTGAAAACCACTGAATTGTACACTTGAGAAGGATGAATTTTATCTCAATTAAAAGGTAAGAAAAAAAAAGATGTATCCCTTTTGACAATTAGTTCTTTGGCTTGTATAAACTTTAGTTAGAGATCTGTGGCTACTAACTAGCTGGCCAAAATTAAGAAATTATTTTTCTCTCTATTAGTAAAGGTAAACAAAAAAATAAAACATGTGCTTTCTCTCACACATACAAAGCACTTAGAAAAGATGGGATCTTGTTTGTTACATGTAAAATTCCTCTACCTAGACCACTATTTCTTAACCTTTTCTTACCCTACAGTCCCTCAATGCTCTTCTGCTCTATCTTCTATATACTATCAAGAGCCAAGATTTTGCTGAGCTTTACATTCTATAGTTTACTCAAAAAACAAACACAAAAATGACAGAAACAAAAGAAAAACAACAAGACACCTAAAATGCTTTCTGGAGGCATATATGTCACCTCCTTTTTCTTCTCTGTACAATTGAGAAGTACTTACGGGGACAATTTTATAGTATTACCTTCAAATTGTAAGACTTGTGAATATTTGTACTTCTCACCATTTTCAAACAATTCCTCAAAATAGAAAATACAAAGTTGGCAACTTGTTTTCTTTTCAATTTATTGTGTTTAAATATAAAGCTGGACAGGTAGTAAAGAGTAATTCAACGCAGCCACAACACTGATGGTCAGTAGGATACACGCTATAGTTTTAATTCATTCCATAATAGTATAGAATAAGGGAAAACATCAAAACAACCTCTTAAAGTGATAGAGGAGTTGGAAAAGTTCCCTAGTGTACATACAGCATGTTTCAAGGATGAACTAAAAAGTTAGGAGAGTTAATGTGGTTTAGAGCTCCTCCTAATGGCGCGAAGAATGAATTCTCATCATTGGGCCATCCATAACTCTACTATAAATAGTTTGTTCAGTGAGACTGCAGAGGAAAAAAGGAATGGAAATAGTATGATTGTCCTTAGAAAAGACTGTCCGAAAAATAGCTGGGTAAAGCCCAAACAATAAAAACATCAGTTTTTTGTGTGTGTTGTTTTTAAGTTAAGCGTGCATTAGGTTTTGGTTAACACATATAGAAAAAATGGAGAAACTTGAATGAGAAGAATTTCAATTTGAAAATATGGTTTATTTGGGAATAGAAAAAGTTAGAAAGCAAGTAAAAAACTAGCATTGGCTTAATTTACAAGTAGGTTGACTTAATAGTAGGTTTTAACAGTGTCAGGTAGCCTTACTATGAAGAAATAGGGGTAATGAGAGCAATGGAGAGAATCTGTGGACAAATAAGCATGTGCATGCTACAAATCCATTTCAGGGAAGTTAATCCATAATTATAATTACAAGACAAATAACGGATTTTCATAATTATAAATAATTTTCATAATTGAATAATAATAACTCTCTGTAGAATGAAAGATTAAACATTTTAAAGTGCTGATGTATCATGATGTGGGACAGCAGAGCTGGTATGCCAATCAACCAATATTTGCTCTTGCAGTAGTGATTAGCGTCCTATTACGAACCGGGTTACTCCTATGGCTAACACGTCAAAGCAATGGCTTATTCCAGTGCTTCACCATGTAAAACTAAAGGCTTCCTGAATCCTAAACACAAGGCCCACGTAACATTCCTTGTATCTGGTTCTGACACCGAGATATAACTGCTTTTCTAGGCCATGTCCCTGAAGGGGGTCCCAGAAACCTCAGTAAGAGAGGTGCTGCACATGTAAGAATTCAGAAAATAAAACAATGACTCTAGGAGTGTGAGACTGGGTTCCCAAAGATTTCAGGAAGTTATGAAGGGTAAGAGGGACTCTTTCTACAGTGGCTTTATGATCTTAATACTTAACCAGAATTCTTCTCCACAAAGTTGGGGGTGGGAGGAGAGAAAAATCCGCATCTATTAGTCCTTTCTAGTTTCTCATGAAATAGCCTGCTCTAATATAGTTCAATTTTAAACATCTGACACCATTTTATAGAATTAGGCATTATTAGTTTTTACAAACATAAAGTGAATCTTAACACAATATTCTGAAATGCTTTCCCATTTGGGCTGTTTAAACACAGAATTCAAAGTCAGGGTAAACACTAACTGCTTACCTGGTAGATGTGCTTGTCTTCTCAACTGTGGACATGAGTCTTGCAAATGCATCAGTCACTTTGAGGCTTGAGGTGGAGATTTCCAGCTTAGACGTTGTTAACTCATACAACTCTGGATCCACACCTTATAGTATAAAATCATAGTCAGTGATGGCAAGCTGCAATGGGTCACTCAATTAGCCACAACCCAAGATGCAAAAGGCAACTGTTCTGTAAACATCTGAGTCTTTTATAAGCACAACACATCTTTAGTATACTATACTACTGTATTTATTTTTTAAATTATAAGTTTCACTTTTCAGAGTTCTTATAAAATAGGAAAATACTTTCAAAATTCTACTTTGGTATATGTATAGACTTTAACATAATACCATCCAAACAATCTAAAATTCTATCTCCTATAGAAAACTCCCTCAATTTTGGATTAGTTTGCAATATGAAAGTTAATAATGTTTTATAAGTAGAATGCACATGATTTATTATACAATAGGATGACTCAAATTTTAAATTGACTGATTAACCACATTTTTTGAACCTCCTTCTCCTGCTACCTTCTTGACCATTTTCCTGCATTCTTTTCTTTCACACCAAAGGATATGGAAGGTAATATAAAGTTTCAAATATGGTAAATGATTTGGTTAGTTTAAATATTCTGACAATTCGAGGGAATAAGATATTACTCAAAGCATTAAATTATTACTAAGGATAAATTATATATCAAGTTGTTTTTTCCTAAGAAGTGGGAGGGTATAATGTTCTCAGAAAAAGTGAAAAAAGAACTACTTTTGGACAAAATAAAAATTGTCTCAAGGGTTAATTATATTTCTATAGTCTCATATCTATATCTAGTAGCTATGAGACCAAATATCTTTTTTTAAAAAAATATATTTTATTGATTTTTGTTACAGAGAGGAAGGGAGGGGGAAAGAGAGTTAGAAACATCTATGAGAGAGAAACATCAATCAGCTGCCTCCTGCACACCCCCTACTGGGGATGTGCCCGCAACGAAGGTACATGCCCTTGACCGGAATCGAACCTGGGACCCTTCAGTCCGCAGGCCGACGCTCTATCCACTGAGCCAAACCGGTCAGGGCCCAAATATCTTTAAAAAAAAAAAATTTTTTTTTTTTCAGAGAGAAAGGGAGAGGAAGAGAGAAATGGAAACATCAATGATGAGAGAGAATCACTGATTGGCTGCCTCCTGCAGGATCAAGCCTGCAACCAGGGCATATGCCCTTGACCAGAATCGAACCTGGGACCCTTCAGTTCGCAGGCCAACACTCCGTCCACTGAGCCAAAGTGGCTAGTGCTAGACCAAATATCTTGTCAGAGGAATTCAAAATGAAGCTGTGTTGTGTTAGAGTATTAGATTTGCTGTAAGTCTATAAAAATCCTCCCCTTATCTGACTTCAGTAAAACATACATATCTATTTTTATATTTCTCTTGAATATAGATTTACATTAAATAAGACTACGAAAACAATGAAAAGAACAATTACATATTTCAACTCAAGCTAAAATTTGGATAATAAAGATGATGAGATAAAAAAAATTTTAATTGTACACTCCTCTTGGCCCCAGCAAATTACTTGAGAAAAGTTCAGTAGTTTCAGCGTATAACAGAAAAACAGACTGTCAGGGAGAATGTCTTGTAGTTTCATCAATCTTTATTTTTTAACAAGCTTTGATGATCAGCTAATAAAATTACATATAAATGCACATATTGATATTAACAAGTTTCCTCCTTTTAGGATATTTCAAGATTAAGAAAAAAAAAAGAAACCCACAGGAACTGCCTTCAACTTAGGAAACGATTAGCAGATGTAAACATAGATCTCAGATGTTTACAGAAATCAAACAAGCAAAAGCAGCTTCCACATTTACCATGTCCAACAAGGGAGGAAGGCTATAGAAAATGTTTGTTGACTCTCCCAAGTTCTTAATGTTTCATTAAGGTACAATTTCAAAATATATTTAGAAGGCCTTTTATAATAAGTATATGGGTTGCAATTAAAATGTACAAAATTATAGATGCCTGTAAAGGGACTAAACAAATCCAAAGTACCTCTTTCGTCCACTGTGAAAGGTTAGCTTCTAAGTAACCACAAAATGTCAGTAGCTGTTTAAGGAATAATGCAGAATAAAAAACTGCATTCTGATTGGCAACAGAAAATTGCTGGTAGAAATTTACTTGGATTTGTAAAATATTGGCTACTTGGCTGTCAAAGAGTAAAGTGGGAGATTAAAAGACAAAACAATCAACCTCCCCCAGCCGAAAACAAACTATCCCATGCACGAAAAGAAAAACAACAGTACTATGGCCTTTTTAAAAAACAAAATAACTCCCTACTCTATACTAATAATTAGACTAATTATTTTTAATGGAAGAATTTTTTTTTAAACAAAACCTTAATGAGGCATAGTTTAGTTACATAACTAAAGCTAGCCAACCAAGTTCTATGCCAACCTCCTGTCTCACACACAAAATAATTAACCGCAAGCTGAGACAAAATGACTTTCCCAGAAACAAGTCAGAAAAAGTGCAAGCAAATAGTGAAATGGAATACTAAGAAAGGTGTTGATACCTGTAGCTTGATGGTAAGTTTTAACAAAACCCAATAGCAATAAAAAGGCAAAGCAACTTTATAGTAATCAAGTTTATACAGCAGCTAGAGCATATAATGAAAATACAGAATGAAAATATTTAAAAGGTTCCAAAGTAATGAGGACCGCATTTGACCATGCTAATTTCACTTCTATCATAGCTCTAAGCTTCTCTCAAAGCTACTGAGCCTGGTTATCAGGTTATTTCTGTACTTCTTTATATGGTAAGATTATCTATGGATGATTTTAACTGAGTTTAAAATGTAACCAAAAATTAAAGTTAAACCAGATTTTTAGGCATCTAAAAATAGCAACCTCATTTAAATTATAATACAGTTCATGACAAAACAAAGCTAAGAGCAAATTAAAAATGGGAGCTTGGTAATTCATTCTTGGGACCTGTACAGTTATAAGGAAATCGATACACACTTTTCCCCCTATTTAGTATTAAAAACAACTAATTAGCTCACCCAGGTCATTACATAGCTCAAATGTATTTAGAAGTAATGTAAGTAAATAGTAAAATATCATTTTGAAGTCACAACCAGACACAGATTGGTTTCTTCATATGCTTGCAAAATCTTGGAAACAATGAACATGATAACCAGGGCTTAGATTGGAGGAACCCGGTCATTCTACCAAATGGCCTTGGACCTTCCTTACAGCATGGTCAGATTTCCATAACCAGACCTTGGAGAAGGGGATCCACATCCCAGGCTCACTCTTAGCTGACTCTTACTCTCCCCCATTTCCCATCATGGCACCTTAACTGCTGGAAGTGGGTGGCAGGGTTATCTAGTTGAATAGGATAAACCCAGCAAATTCTCAGGAACAAGGCTGACTGTAACTGGCCACCAGTGGGGGCACAGACAGATCCTTGCTATGCATTCTGGGCACCAGCATCTATACATAGCACCCCAATGGCTATCTGATGATCAATGGGATGACACAAGATGGGATGACAGAGTCATTAAAATCATATTGAATAAAATGTAAACATAAAAATGCCATTATATTTTAATCTTTTATTCAGTTAGACAATGACAAAATACATTAGTTCTTTGGTCAATGAACTGAACTTTCGCAGGGCTGAACATTAACAGGCACTCCAAGTAAGGTTTATTTCTAACTTTTAGTATCTCATAGCAATTATTTTCTATTATTAACTTTTGTAACTTTTTTCCTCCACATGGAAAACTAACAGTAAACTTTCTACTTAAGAGCTACATGAAGACAATAATAGTTCTATGTGGCACTATATAACTAAGTGCTAGATTCCAACATTTTGGAACCTAATTATACATTCAGCACTAATAAACAATTAATTGAATGCTAGCATTTGTAAAGGTTCTATTATCACAGGCACTACAATGTAAAGTCATCTTTGTGTACTAAAATATTCTTATATCTCTAAACTTTTATATTTTCAAATGGCTTTATAGAATATGCTTGAAAAAATAAGCATATCAAATATCACATTTTTCATTTATAGGAAAAAAAAACTCCTGCCTTTAAATAAGGACATTAGGACTGTTTTATTCCTAGAAATGACTTTGAGCTCTGAATATTACACTCTGAGAAAGTTTTCTTTAAAATACATTTCACATAAGTCATTTGCTATAGTCAGCTACTGGAAAATAACAACAGACAGGTGAAAGAAAAGTATTAGAAAGACATCATAGAGAATACAATCTACTTATTTCCTTGTTTATAGGAAAGTCAAGTGATGTGGTCATGCTTTCAGTAAATAAACTAGAATTGTGGTTTTGACACTCTGCTGACCTGGGATTGTGGTGCTGCTGCTAGAGCTACTGTCATCCACGGGCCCAAAGAAATCAAGGTTCAGAAGAGTGGAACCTCCACTAGCTTGAAATTCAGTGACCGTGTTGGTAGGCAGCCACACAGAAGGTAAGCCAAGGGAGGAGGGGTTATGTGTAAAAAGGGGTAAGACACACACTTGAACATGCAGGTTATAATTAGTAGTCATTACACATTTTAAAATCAACATTAAAACAATGTGTACAGTATTAGTTTTTCATTACTAAGGACATTTCTGAAGTAACAATTTAATTTGATGTACATTTTCTCATGTACAAGGTAAATAATTTAACACTTTAGTAAGGTTTTAGTTAGAAGTTCAGTTCTTTCAATCAAACTCAAAGCCATAGCAGAAAGACCAAGGAAAAATATACCCGTTAAAGGGAAACAATACTTTAATCTCAACCCAACATTAAATCACTGCATATGCCCAAATCAATCTTTCATGTTAGTAATGCTGGTTTCCAATTAATAATGTTTAAAAAGTGACAAAGTTTTCAGTTTTAGGACACACACCAATACATTAATTTAGTTTAAAATAAAACAATATGTCATAACTACCCTACCCTGATGTGCAACCTCAAGCTGTACTGTTCCCCTTTAACTCTGAAACAGTAATCAGAAATAATATACATTTTTAAAGAAGTTGTTTGTTAATAAAAAGCACGATGATTTGACTAAATAAGACACCAGACAACAGCAAGAGGTGCATCCAGGCTTTCCTTCAGCACTGTTATTCAATTGGATGCTTTCCAAATATCCTAGCCCCCATTCTAAGGCAAAACTGACAGAATGCTTTAGGCAATGGCTCAAACAACTGATGATGTAAAGGAGTACAGAGTAACTGTATCTTAGGGTCAAATTAAAACTTGTGGTGTCAATACATTGGAAAGTTAGCGTTTCACGTTATTTTAAAGACTCCACATTACTAAAATCAGCTTTTCCTTTTTCAAGAATTTCTCTTAAAGCCGTGAGTGAAAACAATTATTTCTGGAACTACTTACCAGCATTTTGAGATAAATTTTAGAAAAGGATCACGAAAATCATTCACTTCCTATTTGCATATAAGTGCTCTATAAAATATTATTAAATCTGAAAACTACATTGAATCAATAAATATGGGTCTATTTGCATTGTTTTTAGTTAAATAACTGTGCTTTGTGCTTTAAAGCAGCCTCTGGTCACAAGACTTTACATCCAAGAAAATTCTATAAATTAAAAACTGCAGAAAAAAATTTCAAGTAAATTGACCCTACCTAAAATACCATTTAAACTACCTACATATTTGTAAAAAATAAAGACGTTTTTTGACTTAAGATGAAGAAATTAAAAATGTACCTAACTACTACTACCTATATTTAGCCATTAATGCTAATTTATAGTAGTAATGGCTGACTTCTTGAGCAAATACTATTCAGAAAGAAAGCCTGAATTTCCAAAGATAAGAATAAGAAGTTATGTTCAAACAAAAAAGGAAATCAGCAGAGAGAAGTTTGTCTGAACTTTGTAGCTTTCTTAACTCTAGCTCTGGTGCTAGAGGCTCTACGGAGAGACGTACCATCTAAAGGGTTAGTAAGGCCACTGCTACTCCAGTCAAACTGGACGGGTGGTAGAGACTCCTAGAGTTGAAAACCAAAAAATCAAAATTAATCAGTACAGATTGTATCAACAAAAAGAATCCTTTACAAAGAAAAAATCTATTATATTATAGCAAGATAATTAGGCAATAAAATTCCTAAATACAAAATTGGGATAATTTACAATTTCAGAAGGTTACCTGCAAATAATATTAACCCAAACTGAAATTGCAAAATTTACAAACAGTACAGCTTGACATTGAAAAAGTTGTATCTGAAAAATGGAATTATCTTTACAGTTCAAACAGAAATTTATGGACTGTTTCTATGTCAAGATTTCAATCAATTCTCAAATCAATATTTAAGCTATTGGCTTTATTACAATAAAAACATTAAAATGTATAAGATATCAGACCCTTTTCACTAGTGTGATAACTTTAAATGACTTGGCACTTAAAAATAGCATAATGCAATAGAGAGGGTATCCTACTAGAAATGAGGAAATTTGGGTGATCTGAAACTGAGCAATTACTCAGTAACTATTTGTATGACCATATATGGTTAATTTAGTTGGTCTCGTTATATACAAAATGAGAAAGTTCAAAGTCCTAGGTCTCTGGTTCTTTACAATTTTCCAAATTGTACATGTAAGATGGAAAGTAATACAAAACATTTTAAAAATGAGTATCGCTTTAAGAATATTCTTTTTTTTTTTACTTTAAGAATATTCTTGGTGAGAAAAAATTATGGTTTTTGGTTTTCTTTCTTTCTTTCATGTTGGGGCAGTGTTGACAACACTTACTGAAATAACCTATTGTTTTATTAGACTCAGTATCAACATGTTATCTTTTTTTTGCATTGCTTTACTGTATGTGTGTGTGTATGTATGTGTGTGTGTATGTATGTGTGTGTATATATATATATATACATACACACACATATACACACACACTTTATTGTAAGGTAGGTACTATTTAAACTTAATACTCATTTTTTTTTCTGTGTAAAGACATTGAAAGGAGCATGAAACCATTATTTCTGAAAGTCTAAAACCATGATATTGTAATAACAATTATCTTCATAACAGGGATACCAATGACAGGCATACTACTATGAGCATCTAGTTGTCCCATATTAGGTCAGGGGAGGGATATAAACAAAGTAAAATGCTAACATTAGTGGGTGCCAGGGGTTAGGGATAGTTGTGGGAGTGGGATGAGGAGTGGGCAGTGGAGCAGGAAGTATTGAGGGAGTTCTTTGTGCCGATGGAGGAGTTCTATATCTGGATTGCAGTATGGTTATATGAATATTTCCACATGATAAAAATGACACAGAACTATGCACACATATTGTACAATGGTCATATTATTTGTGTAATATTGTACCATAATTATGTAAGATGTAAATATGAGGGAAACTGGTGAAGGGTATAAGGTACCTCTTCCATATTATCTTTGCAGCTTCCAGTGAATCTATACTTATTTTAACAAAAAATGGTGAAAATCTAGTTTATAACCTAGTTGTAAGACTGATAAACAAATTTTAGAAAAGGTCTTCTTTAGCTGATCTCAAAAACAAACAAACAAAAAGCTCTAGGTAGGCATTCCAACAGATTCAACTAATATATTCTACTTCTACCCCTTTAGTCATATTCAACATTGACTGAATGGACAAAACCCAATTTATGTAGTAACAAAATTTCTGGATAAATGGAGCAAAGCTCTTTCATTAACATTTTACCTAAATGATGTCAAGTAGTTGGATACTTAGAAATATTTCAGTGATCTGCTAAAATTTTAGCTTTTCATATAGGTGTGTATGGCATTTTAAAGACACAGCCAGGCAGGGACAAAAGTAGGTTTACAGTTGTTTGTATGGAAAATAATAAAATATTAATAAATAATAATACAAGAATAAACTGTGTTTTGAATACTCACAACTGTAAACCTACTTTTGCCCCACTTTGTATAATAATGAGGTGCTAAAACACAAATCAACATTTTGTAGAAATGAGAAAGATGAAAAACAGGACATCTATGCAATTATAGGCTAACTAATGACATTGACAAGGCAACTAAAAAAGAAAAGCATTGTAATGAAGCATTTTAAAACAACTTGAAGCAATGTGGTATGATTACTGTGGAGACAAAAGCACTAAAAAAACAAGGTTATAAAAATAGCAAAAAAAAAAAAAGAGACTAGAGACACAATACTTGTGTTCTCTGGTCTTAGCTACCATTGATAGATGATTTGGGATATATTACTTAGCCTTTCCAAACATGTATTATAAAGGAGACCACAATTATAATTTTATTCTTTTTTTCTAACTCTAAAATTCATAACTGAAATAGCCACATCAAGTAGCCTACAAGAGGAAGTTTGCTAGTGGTGACTAGGTGAATAACCGCTAGTCAGAGAGTTGAGTCTACTTATTAGTGAATGAAATCTATAATAATGAAAGTGTAATATGCTAATTAGACTGGATGTCGTTCCAGACGACCTTCCAGATGAAGCCTTCCGGATGAAGCCGGAGCTGTGAGGGAAGCCTGGGTCCTGGATGCTGGAGGGAAGTCAGTGCTGGCATCGGGGAAGGAAGGCCTATTCTTGCACAAATTTCGTGCATTGGGCCTCTAGTATGGTTATAAGTACTGATCCTACTAAGAGGGGAATCAGTAATGACACCAGGAATGGTGTAACCTTGAAATTCAGTGGATAAAGATAAAAATAAGACAACAAAAGCATCACTACTGCTTTTTACCTATAATCTGTTTTTCTTAGAAAAAACACCATTAACAGTTGCTAGTAAGTTATTAAATTCCTAAACAAGAGATGCAATGGTTAAAAGATTAATGAGTACAAACTAATTTGGAAGAAAAATTCAGTGGGTACCACAATTGAGCTAGAATAGACAGAACAAAAAGCATGCAGTCACAATGAGAATTACGTAACTAAATTTGAAAGTCAATGTTTACTGCTGCCCAAAACAAACACTTTATAAAAGGAAGGTTTGAGATACACACACACACACACACACACACACACACACACACACACTCTCTAGAGGCCCGGCGCACGAAATCCGTGCACGGGAGTGGGGTCCCTCAGCCTGCACCCTCTCGCAATCCGGGACCACTAGATCCTAACTGCTTGCCTGCCTGCCTGCCTGCCTGATCACCCCTAACCACTCTGCCTGCTTGCCGGATCACCCCTAACCACTCTGCCTGCCTGCCTGATTGCCCTAACCACTCACCTGCCTGATCGCCCCAACCACTCGCCTGCCTGCCTGAGCACCCCTAACTACTTGCCTGCCTGATCGCCCCTAACCTCCTCTGCCTCGGCCCCCACACCCAGGACCCAGGCTTCCCTCCTCTGGCCGGCCGCAGGCACCCAGGACCCAGGCGGCTTCACCCGGGCCAGCACCCAGGACCCCGGCTTTGTCAGGAAGGATACCCGGAAGATGTCCGGTCTAATTAGCATATTGCCCTTTTATTAGTATAGATATATATATTTTGTGGCGGGGGTGGGGGGAGGGAGAGAAAAGATATTAAACAGGTCTTTCCTGACACATTTTGTTAAGTTTCTAGCATTAAAGGCTATACAGCTTTTTAATCTGAAAATTATGAGTAGCAGGAAGACATAACAGCCTTACTGCATGGTCAAAAAGTAAAGTAAAAGTAATATGTATGTTGCAGGCCAAAGAACAGTGGTAAGAAATAGCACTTTATATAAAGAGATCTTTACAATGTATAGCAGATGTTTGTTAAATATTTTAACTTGAATCACAAGTATGGAGCCAAGCAAAGATCTCACAATTTAGTGATGGCAGTCAGGCATCCCAACACAAAATTCTGATATGCATACTGAAATCTGTTTGAGTGTGTTTGTATATATTAGAATGAAGACTTACATAATCTCAAGTCAATTCAGAAATAAGTATGAACAACTTCCATTGGGAAATATTATTTTCATTGGTTCCAGAAAAGCCTAAAAACTAAAGCTAATGAGGATCACAAACTACAACAAAAAAGTATAAAATAAATTTTTTAATTCACTATTTTTTTTAAAGGGGAGAATGATGATTTTTATTTTTTAAATATATTTTATTGATTTTTTACAGAGAGGAAGGGAGAGGGATAGAGACTTAGAAACATCGATGACAGAGAAACATCGATGAGGGAGAAACATCGATCAGCTGCCTCCTGCACACTCTCTACTGGGGACGTGCCCGCAACCAAGGTACATGCCCTTAACTGAAATCAAACCTGGGACCCTTGAGTCCGCAGGCTGACGCTCTATCCACTGAGCCAAACCAGTTAGGGCTCACTATTTTTTTTGAATAAAGAAATGTGTGCACTAACAGAATAAAAGGATATGTTTGATTAAAAGGACTTTTATAAAAGTAGTAAGAGAGCAAGTTCCATTTTTTAACAAAAAAGTTAGATGCGCTTAATGTTGCTAAAAATTTCTATACTTGCCTATAAATAGGGAGACAGTAATCCTTTGATTGCAAGTACACAGGGGTGTATGTGCATGAATAGATGGCAACATACTATGGAGCTGCAACTAACCTCCATTACATTAACACATCAATTTCCATTAAAAGTCTTTCATTAAATTGACACATGTTTGTATTAGGTCACCTAGATTTTTTTTAGTCATGTTGATAATTAGATTATATAATAAAGATATGTATAAGGTATGACTAGAATGAAATAAATAAAATCGGTCAGTTTTGGTAAAATAAACAATAGTTTATGGGGCTGTAATACATAGACATGGATAGAAGGAGGAGAAGAGGGGAAGGAGGAAAGCAAAACTAGTAACAAGTGGCCTCCAATAAGAACAGCACCATTTTTAGTAAATGAGCCAGCATTGAGTATAAGAATGCTGATTAAGGTAGACATGGAAATGAGTTCTAGAATTTTGGAATCTGCATAGGTAAAGCAGGCATGGGAGGGCAGTTGATATCCAGAGGGCAATGAAAAGAGGATAAATCTAAGGACAGATTCCACCTACTGAGATATTTTGCCCAAGCCATTTACCTATTACCCAAAAGAGTTGGTAAAAGACCAGGCATTTTAACGCATTAGGCCTCTGCTCATGAATTCAAAGGGATGTTTAGTTGTGCCCAGGTATAAACCACAGTGGTACACAACAGTAATATAATATGCTTCTTGAAACACACTTGAAAAGGAAGGACCTTAATTTATATCATTATTTTCTAAAGTATGTTTTTCAAAACACTAGTGCTGCAGGTGTTAGAACTCTTCTCCCCTAGTCCCTGCAGAAAAGGGTCCTGTGGCCAACAACATTTGAGACATGAATGACAATTACATAGGGTTATTCACTACAGGATTCTTCCAAGTCCTTAATGTATGTGTTGTGAATCTCTGGTGGGTTAAGGCATGATATGAAATATTTCCCAAACTTATTCCACCCTAAAGCACTTCTTTAGTGTTGCATCTCTGGGGATTAGTATTTAATGGAGCACACAATTTGGGAAAGGCTGTCCAAACATACATTTTTGTGTTAGATATAATTGAAGATGATATTTAAGATTAAGAAATGACAAACACAGCAAGGATATGTTTTAGAAATGGTAATGTTCACTTAAAAATATCAATCTTCTAAAAAACAGTATTTAGCCAGCACTAAATCTGTTTCTGATCTGATGTGGGAAAAGTAAGCAACCTAAAATGCTTCTTTTCCTCAGATAAACAGTGACAGGGAGACTTTGATATTATATATATTAGACTAAAATAAATTTTGTGCTTAAATGTGCTAAGCAGGTAAAGAATAAAAAGGTAAAAGAGCTTTCTTTTTTTCTTAATCGATAGTTTTGTTAAATGTCACATCATTTTCAAGTTAAGTAATAGTTTTATTCAAACTTCCCAAACAACAGTTTCTGATGTAATAAACACGCCTAAACTTTATTACTTTATAAAATTTTGCAGGCTTCAAGAAAAACACACAATAGCAGACTTGGAGAGTGGGTATAAATGCAGTGTTCCCCATTTTTGAGGATATCTAACACTTATCAGATTTGTGTGTAATGATCATACAATGTTCAAGCTGCAAGGGACTTTTAGAGATGCATGTTTCAAAGTCTTCATTTTAAAGGAAAAGAGACTAAGTTTTAGATAGGTTTAAAGGACTTACTCATGACCAGCCAGTTCTCAATTTGTGCCTTTCTATTCTTAGAAATAAAAGATAATTTGTTCATTGTATTCCAAGGGGTGTTATTTAATAAGTAATCAAAATCACACCCATCATGAAGTCAAATTTTTAAAACATTTAAAAAACTAAAGTCTATACATGTGTGTCCAGTGTGTGTGGACATACATGTATAGATATGCCTGAACGTATCTATACACATACAGATATTTTTACCTGGAATTGGTCAGATGTACATGTATTCATTTCTGGTGACATGGAGGTTGTCTGACCGATGGAAGCAATTTTTTCTGCAGCAGATAGTGGTTTCAAGGGTTCCTTGGTGGGCTCTAACATACCCTGAAAAAGGTATATTAGCCATTAATTTGGGGTGGGGGATCAACTCATAAACTTTATAAGAAATTTAATCTATAAGGAAGCAGAAAGGATAAAACAGGTTATTTGGAAAGTTACTAAAGACAAAAGGAACGATTCTTAAATTTTGTTTAGAGAAAATTTTATTGCACTATAATGGAAACTGTTTCACAATAATACCTTGGGAACCCAAACTTTTTGAAGTAAGACCTTGTATTTTAAATCAAATTTGTTTTAAAGTACTTCGTTATCACTGCCACATAAAAGCAAAAGCACAAGCTGTGATGGCGAGGAAGGAGAGAGTCTTTAAGAGGCAAGCACAACAGATATTACATCCCAACCCTAAGAATCCAACAATTTTATGATGTTTCTGACACTGAAACCGTAGGAAAAGGCACCCTTCATACACATTACACCATGGTGGTGCTTGGAGAACTGAGAGCTAATTTACCATTTGCAACAGCATGGATGGAACTGAAGAGCATTATGCTAAGCGAAATAAGCCAGTCAGAGAAAGATAAAAATCACATGATCTCACTCATTTGTGGAATATAATGAACAACATAAACCGATGAACAAAAACAGATCCAGAGACAGAGAAGCATCGATCAGACTGTCAAATCTCAGAAGGAAGGTAGGGGAGGGTGGGGCTAAGGGGGAGAGATCAACCAAAGGACTTGTATGCATGCATATAAGCCTAACCAATGGACACAGGGAGTGAAGGCATGAGTGGGGTGGGGAGGCAATGGGGGGATAAGGACACATATGTAATACCTTAATCAATAAAGAAAAAAAAAAGAGAGCTAATTTTAAAACACACTGTATAATGTGATGACGTCTACATGCTTCAATGGGAATCTAGTATTTCTGGCTCAACTAAAATATGGGAACCTTATGTGCCGGTCAGGGGTGGGGGAGTGGGCGGGGTAGGGGAGGCCGGGGGAAGGTCAATGGGGGGAAAAAGGAGACCTATGTACTACTATTCGTAATACTTTAAACAATAAAATAAAATTAAAAAATAAAATAAAATAAAATATGGAAACCTTAATACTTAGTTCTTTGGACGGCAAAGCAGAGACACAACCATTTCAGAGGAGAAAACATCTTACTAGTACATGTTCCACTAGGTGTGTAAAAATCTAATACGCTCTTTGAGTTAGAAAGAAAGACATTTGGAATGGATGTAGAAATAAAGAAAAAAAAATCAGTATTTTGCATCAACACTCTACCAAACACTAAATATAATGAGTTACTGGCCTGAAAAAAGCCAAGCTTTTACACATTTAAAACTAATACTTGATAAGTTCCTGAGTATTTATCAAGCAGACCAAATAAAAATCTCCTTCTACTGGGAATGGAGTGGGGGGTAAGGGCGGAGGGATGCAAAATCAAAGCTGCTAAGTTAATAATGTTAGAATCTGTAAATTTCTAGAACCTCCCTCTCCAAAAATATAGAGCATAAGCTCCCTAAAGCAATTTACAGATTGAAGTCATGCTCAACACCCCTTGCATAACTGTGCCCTTATACAAGGAGACAATGCACTTGGCAATTACTAGTCTTAGCCAACTTTCCTAATGTGAACTATCACTTAAACCAGTGGTTCTCAAAGTAGTCCTCAATCAGTAGTTTCTGCATCCCCTGGGAACTTGTTAGATGTGCAAATTCTTGAGCCCCACTCCAGACCTACTGAATAAGAAACCCTGAGGATGGTGCCCAGCATTCTGTGTTTTAACAAGTTTTACAAGCACTTCACATTAAAGTCCAAGAACCAGTGACTTAAATGATCATTTCAAATACTATTCCTCCAGATGAGATCAAAATATATTGAAGATCGCCCACATGAAAGGCACCACGGAAAAAATTAAGGCATAATTAAAATTTGAAGCCAGATATGAAAAAGAGTAAGTTTCTAAATGTAAAGCATTACTAAAATGAATGAGAAAATGATGCATTCACTAAATCAACTTTGGAATTAAAATCTTATAAAAATAATAAATTATTACTAACAAAGATTGTAATTAAGTTAGCAAAATAAAGCATAAATATTCATCTCTAACCTCTCACAAAACTTCAAGAACTGGCTAATGTGATGAGTCTACAAATAAGCATTAAGTAGGTTATTGCTGAATGAAAGCTCTCATAAATAAAATTCATATTTCCTACTTAGAATATGACAGTAACACCAACAACTTCTGGAATGCTATTCCTTGAGGAAAAAAAAAAAAAAGAAATACAAATAACCAAAACTTTAAATAAATATTCTGGATTATATTTATCTACAGCAGAAAAGAGTGTAAGGATAATCAAGGTGTTTTGAAAATATAAGATAACTATTTATTAAGGAACAGAAACTGGTAAGAATGAATGCAGAAAAGTTTTTGTCCAATTCCACAAAACAAAACTACAAAACAGAACAAAGCAAAATGGTCCAATTCAATACCAATAATTACAGCTTATTCATGGGAAAAATTTTTAGATTAAAGAAAGGTCAAGCTCCACAGCAAACTCATTTTTACATGCACATAAAGAGCTAAAATTTATATTCCACACCAAGGGTTCCTTAGCTTTTTCTTTCTTTCTCAAATATAGTTATTTTCAAGTTATTGGCAAAAAAAAAAATTTAAATATTTTTAGTTTAATGGATAGGACATTTTAATTCACCAATAACTCAATGACACACCAAAAACCGCAAACAAATCCAACTTTAAAATGTGACTGAATCTTGGTATGGTACAGAATGAAAATTCCTCAGTTATCCTGGACTACCTGGAATATCTAAAAAAACAAAACAAAACAAAAACAAAATTCAACACATTTAAAACATTAATGGTAAAACTAAGGACCAATTATGGATCGTGGTCATTTTCTGTTACTATAATTTTGTACTTCCAAGCTTTTATATACATCTATAGTTTCATTATTTAAATTGATCACAACTGGATTAACACAAATGGTATCCAAGTCTTCAGATATTTTAGCTTTTTCTACTTGAAAGCAATTTAGAAAAAAGAAGAAAAATATACAAGAAAAAAGAGAAACATCCAGAAATGCACTTTACAAAGAGTTATGGACACTAACAGTATTAAGATAAAAGTAATTTTTAATCTAAAACAAAAGTCTGTAACTAATGGAATATAAAAAATATCCTCAGATCAAGACTTAAAGGGATTTATGACATCAAAAGTGATATTATATTTATTCCCTTAATGTTCTCATACTAAATGCCCTTAAATACATGTCATATAATGTAAATGATTTAATATAATAAATGCAGCAATGATAATACACACAAAAACATTTTTATACTTACCAATCCTGCTGCATACATGGGCACTATAACAGGTTGCTTCTTATTGCCGGTGAAGAGCTATACACATTTTAGAGAGAAAGAGCATATATTTAGAAAATGATCTGTCATAAAATTAAATACTTTCCAAAATATGCTTGTAATGCTATATTACATACATCAAAAATGGTAAATTGAAGAAATTGTCAAATTGCCCATATGGGGTTGTAATTTTGATCCAGTCCAAAGGTTCTCAACCTGTGGGTCCCGACCCCTTTGGCAGTCGAACGACCCTTTCACAGGGGTCTCCTAAGACCATCCTGCATATCAGATATTTACATTACGATTCATAACAGTAGCAACATTACAGTTATGAAGTAGCAACGAAAATAATTTTATGGTTGGGTCACAACATGAGGAACTTTATGTAAAGGGCTAGAAGGTTGAGAACCACTGTCCTAGTCCAATTCTTTAATTTTATAGTTAAGGAAAAACACTAAACAACTTTTTTTAAAAATAAGAAATATTGATTGGAGAAAAACTGAGATAGATTTATGTTTAAAAGTTGGCATATTCCAAATACATGAACATCTAAACCAATTAATATTTATTTTTCTGAGGAACTAGCTTATCACAGCTTGAATAGAAGTGCAATAATTTAAAAACATCCAAAGGTTAATTAAAGGATTTTCCAAGGTACTAACAAACTCACAATGTTTCGGGTGTCTATTCCCAAGGAGCACAAAAGCTTCTTGTTGCTATGGGAGCCGCCCCACTGATATCTCAAGCCATGTGCATCGTGGATATCCTGTAGCTCAGTCCACACATCCAGCAGTTCCCTGTAAAGTCACAATGAAGCCACCAACAAGATTTACTCAACAGCTTTCACCACGAATTCTACTTTTAATGTGACTGTGAAATATTATACATTCCAATTAATCTTGAGTCTAACATGAATATACAACCAGTATCTGAATTAAATCAACAGCCAACACTTACAGTTATTAGAAAAGTAACTAAGTTAAGCTCATTTGAAACAATATGCCAGTAATCAAGCACAAATTTAGCCTGTATGTTGTTTTTTATATTAAAGCAAACATATATAAAAGAAGGAAAGAAATCAACTCAGCATTCTACCTTCTTACTACAACCATTTAATATTTGTATTTTCTCCTTGAGTTTTGATCCCCCAAAACACAGTTGCAATTCTATCATATATATAATTTTGTATCCTTTTTTCAGATTTTAAGCATTTCCCCATTTACATATGTATTTTTCAATGGCTGTGTAATGTACTATTAAGACCAATGCACCATCATTTATTTAGCTATACTCCTACGGTTTTAAATAAGATTTACTGTTCAGCTCTTGTTAGTAAGGCAAGAGTATCTTCATGTATTTTATGGTGTGTGTTGTTGTTGAGTTGTGTTATTTCCTTAGAATGAATCTTCTGGAAAGAGATTCCTGGTTCTAAGAGTATGAACTACCTGTACAACTAGCAATAAAAAAAGCAGATAAAAACAGTTTTAAGCTGGCAAAAAATAAGCTTTTTTGTCTCCTCCTCTTCTCATATTATCATCCCAAAACAAAAACCAAGAAGCAAAAATAATCTCTATCTTCAATGAAATTAAAAGATACTTAAGACCCTGAGCCACAAATACTAAGGTCACAGAGAGCGATAAAGGAAAGACCTGTGGAGGGAAAGAGTAAAGAAATGCAAGAGTCCAGGAATGAAAATAACGTTGAAATTAAAACTAGAAAATCAATCTACTGGTAGACCCTCTAACAGCTAATAATTAATAAGAGTTCCAGAAAGAAAACAGAGACAATGAAAGAAGGTAACTGTCAATACAAGCGGAACTGCCCTACACTGGGGAACAGAAGTTTCTGGACTGAAAGGTCCCATCCATTGCTCAGTCCAAGGAATGAAAAGACTCATATTTAATTGTGAATTTTCAGAACACCAGCAACAAAGGATCCTAGATTATAAATTTAATGTGAGAGTAAATTAAATAAAATAAAACTTTATCTCCTATGTACCTTTTTTCTCAGGAGCTATTAGAGGATGTGGGCTACCAAAATAGGATCTAAGTGAACAGAAGTCCCCAAGACAACATGTGTTTAAGAGGACTGAAACAGGAAGATGGAAGTTCCCAGGGAAAAAATGGGATGGCCAGCCTGACAGGTTTGATCACAAGTAAAATTATATTAACAGGCTGTTGGCTGGTAGGGAAAGACTTAGAAATGGAAAAAGAGAGTCTGGAAAAAGTTGTACTATAATAGAATTAGTGGCTAAGCAAGGACCATTATTAACACGATTATCATAATGAAAATACCAAATAAAAATTTAAGTGAAAACTACAAGTATATTGGGATGATGAAGGAGAATAGCAGATGTAAGATCTAAATTCTCATCTACCATACTATGAAGTCAAAAGATGAAATGTAAGACTGAGTGATTAGAATAATGATTTAGAAATATCAGAAAAAAAGGTAAAAAATGGAGACACATGGAGGTTTTAAAAAAATGTATTTTTAGCACAATATGATTTTTTAAAACTTTAACACAATGTTTCAGAATCTTAATGTTTAAGATAACCTTATAAAATAGAACAGTTGACACTAACACATCTACATGCTATCTAACAACTGTCTACTACTTACCCACTTTCAGCTAAGGCCTCTCTTGTTTTTATTGGCAAGGTGTTTGTTTCCAGCAAGTGCTTCAGAGAAGTAACTTCCTCTTCAGGATCAGGGACAACAAACATGGAAGGAAAACATGCTTCGAAAATTCGCTCCAGGCGGTTTAGTAAAGCTGTCTGTACCAAAACACCCCCCAAAAGTATATTTTCATTTCTCAAGTTTTAATGTCATATTTCTTCTTCTCCATCATCATCATCATCATCATCATCATCACCCCCCCCCCCCATACACACACACACACACCCTCTGTCCATTACTATAAGACAGAGAGGGAAACTACCAGTCAGGTACAAGTGAAAGAAGCACAACTACTCATAGAAGAGCTGTTTTAAATGATTACTTTAAATAATCGTAGTGATACAGTGAGGAAAATAAATGCAGCTACACAATAAGCACTATACTTGGTACTTTAGAAACATGTTATTTAATCCATTAGAAAATTCTACAAAGAAGAAATTATTACCCAATTGTAAAGTGAGAAAGCAATCTCAAAGTCTGAATAAATGTCCAAAGCAAAAACAAAAACCAATACTAGATAGCATTCATATTCTTTACACTACACTGGGATGTTTCTTACCACCACTCACATATTCTAGATTTAGGACCAATAAGATCGGATGCTTGTAAAAGTATGCTACTATAGTTGAACAAACCTTTTTTTCTTGGACATAAACTTGAATTCTGAAAGCCTTTCAGAAACATCTCTGCTGCTAAGAGAGCAAATCAAAATAGGAGAGAATGTCTCAATTTTTACTTAGAAATTCAACAGCTCATTTATTAATCTGATGGTCTGATCTTCTAGAAATTCCATTTCTCTATTTTTCTATGGTATGTATATATGTATTTTTGAATAAAACAATGCCCTTCCTCCAAGCAAAACTCATATATTCCCAAGAATTTTCACCAAGAAAGTTGGTATTTGGAGTTTTTTCATTAATTAAAACTTACTGAATTTAGATCAACTTACATTTTTGGTTACTACTAGGTTTATTCTACATGTGCAACCTACAATAACATTTATTTTCACTCTCCTAACTATTTCAGATACATGTAAAACTGAATAGTTCAATTTACTAATTAAACATCAAATAAGAATACAAATTGAAAACATGTTAAAGCTTGTTGGAAGATTAAGTGTATTTCTGAAATGACAACCAGTGTACAAGAAAATGCCACATCACGGTAGTACTTCCTGCCAAGTAAGGCACACAAGTTATCACTTGATTTCTGTTGTTTAGTACAGTCAGCAAACAGGAAAACCAAAAGGAAAAATTTTCACAAACATATTTTCCAAACTAAAATCTCTTTTTTGAAAGTAGTATCAGAGCAAAAAACTCAACACTGCATTTACTAGTAGTCTCAGTCTTCTGCTCTCTGCAAGTTACTCTAAAATCTTTATTATATTCATGTCTGTGATATGAGAAAAGTTCTCAGTATCAATTATGAAACTTCCAGTAAAAAGTAGAGTCAAGATCCCAAGGCTTGTGAAACTTGAGTGTGTCAAGGGGACCAGCACATAAAGGCTTCCACAGAGGGAATGGACAGACATTACTTTTAAACGGATCAGATAACCATCTAATTGGAAACATGAGGAGTGTTGGCATCTCCTGGGCAGGGAAGGTAAACAAAACTCACATAAGACCAAATTTTTATTTCTCTGTAAATTAAAACAGAATCGTTCTGGTATCTTCTTTGTTAAATGGGATAAAAAACAACAACATTTATCAAAGGAAGAAAGAAATGACTCCAAAACACATTCAATCATTTGGGCAATATTATACAACAAGTCTTAGGTGAACCAGCCAGCAAATTCTTAAATTAGTGGAATGTACTTGAGGAAACAGAGCATTACATTAACCTGATTACCTCAATATTTTACTTCTTTCCCAAACTTTTCTCATAAAGAATGTGAATTACATAGTAATTTAAAAAGAAAGTTCCATATGTGTAAGATTAGACATTACATTACATTGCTTCAAATCTATTACTGAGTGAAGCAGGCAATTTTTTCATAAAGGGTAAGATAGTAAATACTTTCGGCTTTGCAGGCCATCCATAAACAAGCAAGTGTGGGTGTGTTCTAATGAAACTTTATGTACTAAACAGGTGTCAGGACAGATTTGACTCTTAGGCCACAGTTTGCCCAACGGAGGTAGAGCAATAAACAAGTAACAAAGATTCAAGTAGCCAGAATCCACTAACCGAACAGCACTACCCAACACATATTGCCCCTATATTATAGTGTCATCAAAGCAGTTCTAAATTCAATTTCTAAAAATTATAGGGGCTTTGACGGCAAGGACTATCCCTTATCTTGAATCTCTAGTACCTAAATTCCTACACATAATTGGTACAGGAATATTAACTATATCAATGTAAAATAGATTTTTTTAAAAAGCACTTCAGTTTTATTTAAGACTGCAGGGGGCATATTTGTTCTATTTACAAAAGTATATCTTATTGTAAGCCATCTAAATAATTTTTGTACACAGACCGGATATATTTATATAATTATAGCATGTATAAATAATAATAGCTAAATGAATGCCTTTATGTAATGCACTATGCTTGATGCTCTACATATATTACTTGATAAAAATCTTTAAAAGAAACCCTGAAAGACAAGTATTGTGTCCATGTTATAAAGTAAAGGGAGATTAATATAACTAACCAGTCACATGCTGGCATGGTGTACAGCAAGGATTTGACCCAAAGCCAGACGCTAAAGCCTACTTTCTTTTCATTAAGTCATGCTTTTATCCACTTTTTTTTTTTTTGTCTTTCAAACATTTGTAGTCATTAGGTAAGGTATTCAACTATTAACTGCTGATTTGCTTTAAAAGCAAATAATTTCATTCAACACAACTCATAGTTTTCAACAAAGCAAATTGAAAATTTTTACTAGTCAGTGCTATGCTCTACATTAATGTGAGGGTAACAAAAGTGCACACACTGAGCATACTAAATTTTAGCTGAGATTATAATAGTAACTAAATAAAATATTCTCATCAAATACTTAAATTTTAAATGCCTTCAACACCAAAGTCAAAGAGGATAAAGAGCCATCAGTTCTCCCTTAAATTTGGAATTTAGAAACTGGTGACTGGTTGGCTGAATACCAGTTTATATAACTCAGTCATGTCCCTTAATTCATACAAATCTCAAATGCTAAGCCTAGCAAACAGCAGTACATCTAGCCATTAAACATTTTAAGAACTGGGGGCTCTAATAAATGGGTTGAAAGTCAAGTGCCCTTCAAGGCAGGTGCCAGGCTCCCTTTTGATTTTCTCTATTCATGTCCAGTGCTAGGAAGCCAAACAAGGTCTACTACTTGCACAAAAGGGCACTTATATCCATAAGAGTTCCTACCTGTCAAAACTATTCTGAGAATGGAAACTAGCCCAAAGCAGCAGCTTTGCTCTCAAAATAGTCTGATGGGTAAATATAGAGCCAGAATTAGGGGTACTCCCATACAAATTCTCATTTGTCTCTATTACTTTCCGCTATTCACCAAAAAATTCAGTTGGCAACACTATTTCTTGCACCTCTGAAGACCACTTTCCAAGTTCATTTCTAAGATGATTCAGTAACAGTTAACATTTATTGAGCACTTATTTATGTGCAAGGCACTGTGCTAATTAAGGACCTTTAGATGCACAATATTATTTTATCTTCATAGTAAGAGTTTTGAAGTAAGTACTTTGATCATTCTTTAAATCTGAGGTTCAGGGAAGTGGATAACGCAAAGTTACTGCTGAAACATAAATCTGAATCTAGCAGTGGGACTCCGGAGCCTTGCTTTTAGCACTATGCCCAGGACTAACTTACACAGTAGGCATTCGGCTTAGGGCCCACAATAATTTTAGGGGTTCATGAAAATGTTTTACTATCTAATATTAACATTCTCATCTTTATACCATTATAAAAGAAAAATTTAAGTATCTTTTATGGGGAAGGAGCTCACAAAAGTCCTATGTGGCCTTGGCTATACTATTCTCCAAAGGTAAACTGGCTTTTGTAACGTGCTTGTTTTCCTATCAGAGTCCTTTATTACCTTAAGTGTTTTTATATTTTCATTTTTTTTCAAATCAGATAGGATTTCTGGGAAAGCAAAAACAATTAACTACCCGATTGTTTAATTCATCAATGGTGGACACAGAATCATGCATGAATTCCCAGTTCCATCATACCTTCTGTCTAAGGTTGGAGGAAGAAAGCCTTAGGATATGTAAGCAGCCTTTTACCCACTTGTGCAAATAAGTCATATTATCTAATGCAAAGTTTCCCAACTGATATGCCTCAGTCACAAACAGGTTACAAGTGTTCTAAAAATATGGAAAGCTATACATAGAAATGTGGTTCCCATACGGTTAATTTTAGGTGTCAACCTGACTGGGCCATGAGGTGCTCAGAGGTTGATCAAACATTATTCTGGTTATGTCTGTGGAGGTGTTTCTAGATGAGATTAACACTGGAATTGGTAGACGGGATAAAGCAGATTATCTTTCCTAATATGAGTGGGCCTCATCCAAGCACTGAAGACAGCTCAAAGACTGTGGAGATAGGGACTTATCAGTCTTCAAAACACATGAACCAATCCTCCCCTCCATCCCCCCTTCATCCATCCATCCATCCATCCATCCATCCATCCATCCATCCATCCATCCATCTACCCATCCATCTATCCCCCTGGTTCTGTTTCTCTGGAGAGTTCTAACTAATACACCTTTATTTTATAAACAGCTGGAGTATGAGCAGATTAAGTGCACTGAAGGTCTCATTCAGTTTTTCAAAGTAGTGTATAAGACCAGCACAGGTAGGGGTCCTAGACTCTGGTTCTTATGCCATTCAAATACATATCTCCTTTAAAGTATTTTCTATTTAAGGTAATTTCTAAAATTCCTTAAACATATTTCTAGTTAGTTTTTTTTCTTTCTTAGGAACAAAAGTTGATTATTGTTAATAGTTTTAATATTGATAGCATTAGGTCTTGCTCTTAAGTGGAAGAAACATAAAATCCACTGGGTAATATAATCTCCCATTTAAAAAGATACCTTATGCCTCAACACCATTAAATATTAAGTAAGATATCAAGTACAACCTACAATTGTATACTTGTCAGTTTCCAATTTTAAACTATATAAAAGCAACTGGTTATAATATTCATGAGGCTCTAAAAAGATGCTTTGCAACTTCTACACAATTTTTGGATAAATTTAATAAAACACTTCTATCTATTTTGGAATCAAAGCCCAGAATTTCACATTTTTTGAGGGAAAAATAACAAAAGGAACCACTATCCAAATACTTCAGATAAGCAAAGAGCTATAAGGCCAAATATTCATTTCTTGAGATATAACTGACATATAACATTATATTAATTTCAGGTGTACAACATAATGATTAGATATATGTGTATACTACAAACTGACCGTCACAGTAAGTCTAGTTAACATCCATCACCACACAGTTACAGATTTTTCTTGTGATGAGAATTTTTAAGATCTACTCTCTTAGCAATTTTCAAATATAAAATACAGTATTACTAATTATAATCATCATGCTGTACCTTTCATCCTCAGGACTTATTTATTTTATAATTAAAAGTTTGTATCTTTTGACCACTTAATTTCCTTATTTTGTTGCTTACTTCTGTTTCCAGTCATAAATTGAAGTGTTCCCCAAATAAAGGAAAACTTTCACAAACCTTAGGCAGATGATTAAACAAACAAAGGTGAAAATATAGGATTAGTTATACTCAGTTTGAGAATGCTTTCTGGTGAACAAACCAATAACTTAATCTCAAAATAACATAAGCCAAAGTATTAGAGATTCTCTTCTTTTTTTCTTTTTGTGATATTTTTAATGTTAAAAGCTTTCAAAACAAATCTTCATCTAAACTATTTTCCCAGTAGCATTATCAATTAGATAGGCAATAAGAAAGACTGACTCATAGCTTCCTTTTATACAGCCAATTAATATTTTTAAAAAATTACTCATTAATTACCTAATTTATCAAATAACATCAGAGTAATACTTTTCAAATTTTACAAAAGCTCAAAGGTAAATGCAGTGCTTATGACATTATCTTCTTTACTATATACTTAAGAAAAAGGCATCTTGGCTATCAGTCAAGGTTCCTTTCTGGAAAATTAACAGGTAAACAAACAAACCTGTTAAAACAATACACATAATGGTCTTTTGGGAAAAAAAGGACTCTTTTAAAAGTAAAGAGGACTTTTGTCGTCATTTTGTTTTGTTTTAAATCTTAGCCCAAAAAGTGAAGAATAGTTTTGACCTCTTTCCAATTTAAACAATAGAGATACCACTACCTGCCTTTCTCTACAATTTATAAGACTGTTAATGAGAATGAAATATATTGAACTCTAAAAAAGAAAATTTCACTGTAGAGTAAAAATATTTATCAATACATGGTCATGTATGGCTTAAATCCCCTTTGAGGTTTGCTGGACCCACTTCTGAGAATTAGTTTGTCTAACAACATTTTATAACTTTGAAAATTTTCTTCTTGGTTGATTTTTCCCTTAAGTAACAAATTATTGCAATAAAGCTACAATAACTGATTTGTCTCTTGACCCAAGGAAGAGATATTTTATTAAAATGTAAGCGCCCTGCTGGCGTAGCTCAGCAGATCCTGGAAAAGAAAGAAACTGCAGGCCACAGGCCTCCTTACCAACAGCAGGATAAGAATGAAAGTCATTTGCAACTACTCACTTAGCAGGGTTTACCCATTTCTCTACCTCAACTTTCTTCCGAAGTTCCCTTCTAGCCCTTTCCAGCAGTCTCTCTATTTCAACACCCACCTCCAAGTTCTGCTCCTTTTGTGTAACTCATTCAGCAAAAAAAAAAAAAAAAAAAAAAAAAAGCCTAAGGACTGAGCCAAATAAATCTCAGAAAGTCTTAATGCATCTTGCCACATATACACAGTTAATTTTTAAAAAATAGATCATATTAAAAATTTTGGTGTTTCAGATTTTTTCACTCATTTTAAAATTTACTGTCATGTCATTTTATCTGCACAAAAGTCCTTTGAAGTAGATATTACAGATAACTGAGTCCAGGGGTAACTTGTCTTAAATCATAAAGCTTATAAGAGGCTGAGTCAAGATTCAAACTCAGATCCATAAGATTCCATAAGGTCCATCCATATACTTCATTATCTCCTATTTCAGTAATCAAATTATACATAAATAACTTCGATCAACTTGTATGATGCAAAAATTTCCTTTTTAAAGTGGTCATACTTTAAAAAATTCATTATCTGATGATGTTAAATGTTCTAACAACATAAATTAAAGATCATCCAATACCAGTGTCATCTTACACTCTAGTAAGATGAAACTAATTACGAAACGGATTAGGTCAAAACCAACAAGTCTTTGCTTTGCATTGTACAATTAATTCACTCCTTGTTTACAACTGCAAGCTTCTGCCTCAAAAATAAATTCCTCATCAGATATAAAACATTAGCCAAACCATGTAATAACTGAATTAGCAAATTTAGCTATTAAGACCCTCAAAGTCAAATGAAAAGTGATAGCTGTGTACACCAACTGGTAATACCATAATTTTGAAATATCTTGAAGTATTAAAGATGTTAAAACAATGATGTATAACCATTTCAATTAACATTCAGACTTTGGAAATATTTCCAATTAAAAATGGTTTGCTTAGCAAAAGATAACTAGAGAAGTAGAATTTATAGATTCTGATTTTATTCTCAGGAACTTAAACTAAGCTTGAGGACCAAGTGTTACATATATCAATTGTCAGTATAAAGCAGTTATTTTCAAGTGTTCTCTTCCACACCCCTGGGGTTGAGGAAAGGTAAAATGTAGCCGGAGGAACAATTTGGGTATCAAGCTGCACCTCTAGGGGCTACTTTAGATGAAAATAAATCTTAATGAATCTTCTCTGAAAAAGACTACACCAGAAGATAATAAAGTACAGGTGGGTAAAAAATATTCTCCCTGATGTCCTTACTCAACAAGAAGAGTGGCCGTAAATGTACATTTTCAAGAAATTATAAGCAAATAAATATAGCCATAATAAGTCAACCATGGTTGTCTCTTACTAGATCTAAACCTTACTCTCTCACCCTTACCCCAGGTCTTTTAGTACCTGTTAAGTACAAGGCCCAAATCTGTTTCTTTCAAATTCTTTTTCTATACTTCAAGTCCCTATAGCCTTCAGCATAGGGTGAGATTTCAAATTCTGCTTGCTTTCTCCTGCTATCAAAACTATACTTTAATCTCCTAGATCTTTCTTTGATAGACAAAATGAAAAGACATTGTTTTCTGAAACTTAAGAAAGTCTTCTAAATCTCAGTTTAACCTTTTAAAACCACTGTAAAAGTAAACACTGAAGGATTCACTAGAATTAGCTAATTAATGAATTTTTACATTTTTGATGAATGTAACAATATTTACATTAATCAAAAAACCAAGTTGATGAATTTCTTTAAATATTAAAAAACCCCTTGAGATAAAGAAAATTTTTACTAAGCATTATTGTAGTACTATTTCAAGTTTACCAAAGGCTTGTAAAAAATGTAAATAACCTACAAATCAGGCAAGCATTATGTATCATAAAGACTCCTTAACAGATATTCAACTTAAAAATATTTTTTGAAAAGTTAAATTAAGAAGCCTCCATAGTTTGTCATATAAAATAGAGAAAATTAGTAAATACCTGAACTGAAGTGGCTGTTTCCTGTACATAGCCACCAGCAACTGCTCCTTTGGAAGTTGCTAAAGGGACACTGTGCGTTTTGAGGGTTTCTGGGGTATCAGTCTTTTCATCTGTCCTATGTGACTGCCAGGCTTCCTTCCGATGATGAGATTCAGCAGCTTGCTCATCTCCAAAAGCAGCCCAAGAGCAACTATCTTTCTGTCCATCCTCAAAAGCATTCCAATCTACAACTTGGCTAGGACCAGCTGAACTGAAGTCCGCAAAATCATCAGAGTCTTGAAAAGCACTGCAGTCATCTTGAATATTTGGCACAGAATTAAAATCTCCAAACTCACCTTCTTGCCCAATTTTTAGTTCTGAAACACGTTCAGTTCCTGTAGACTTTCTTTCCAACTTACCTTCCTCTGAAAAACTATCAGAATTTTGTTTTCGGTCTGCCTCGGTAAATATAATTTCCTCTTGGCAAGAAACAGCATTTGTATCCCCAAATTCTCCAAAGTCATCACCTGGTTCACTAATATGTGGAAAGTGCTCTGAGGACTCTTGAAAAGTGACATCACTCATTGAATCTTGAGTACCGGTAACAAAAGGTGGAGTTGTGCCACTGGCTGTGCCAAAGTCACCAAAATCATCTTCATTAGTATCGTTGCAAGTCACAAAGTCGTTACTACTATCCCCATTTTTTACACTTATAGGATCGCCCAAAACATTTTCTTCTGTAGGATCAATGCTGGGGCTTTGGTAATCAGTAAACTTTCTACTTTCTTCTTTGGAAGAACTAACTTCATCATCAGCATCAAAAGTTTTAACAGAATCCATGCATAGGCCAGTACATTTGGAAGTAAATAAATCAAGTTTTTCCTCAGTTTTACATTGTTCTCTCCTATTGGCTTCCGAATTATCAGCTGAGTCAACCGAAGTCCAAGCCTTTGATTGTACACTTGAATTTAAAAATTCATCCTGTTGTAATGTTGGAAGGCCTTGTGTTTTAGTACTGAGACCTCTGTTACTCTTCCTGCTTGTTTCTGAAAGGCAAATCTGATCTTCTCTTTCAATGTGTTCTTTATTATCAAAGTTTCTACCCAAAGACACTTCTTTTATAGAATTTAGTTCATTAGCTCTATTAATTTTATTGTTTTCCTGAATGGTTAGTGCTTCTCTATCATTTAAAACTGCACATCCCATTTCTTCTAGTTGTATCCTTTCCTTTTCGGGAAATGTGGCAAAATCTGAAAATTCCTCAGCAGGACTATGTGCACAGTCTAAATTATACTCAGTACCATGAGTGCTAAGAGGCTTTCTTCCTTTTGAATCCACTACAGTGTCCAGATCATCTGTTCCCTGAGGATTTACAGTTTCCAATACTGCAAACCCATTTGTTAGAATCTCCAGACAAGGAGGCTTTTCACCATTGCAGCTCTGTAAATGCTTGTTTTGATGAACAACATTCATATCAGTTCTAAAATCTCTCGGAGAGAAACTTTCAGGTGTTCCAACATTCTGTCTCTGCTCCATTATTTTATTTAAATTTCCTGGACTTTCTATGCCATCGATGGAAGTATCTAAAGTTTCAGATGGAATTACTTCTTTGCTGGTGGTAGAGAGCAAAACATTAGACTGTCCTTTCACAGGAGAAGAAAGTTCAGCAGTGATATCCTTATCATTACCATTTTCAATGGACTTGAAGCTTGTAAGGCTATCTACATTTTCTGAGAAATCATGAATTGGCATAAAGTGGTTTGAAGGTACAAACTCTTCCTTGGGACGAGTACAATCTGGTGTTTCAAATTCAACAAACCCTACACTGGAAGGGCTAACTTCTGAAAACCCTCCAAATTCCCCAAATTCATCCTCATCCTCATCCTCAGCTCCATTGTCCAGTGGTGGTGGGGATGAAGAGTACATCTGAATGACGTCTGGCTCCATTGTTCACTTGCTTTCAAATAATTAATTTATAACTGAAAAAAAAGAAAAGAGATTTTTTGAGGATAAGATCTTTCAAAATTCTCTAAGCTACTTCAAAACAATGCGAATTTACAGTGCTCTTTTTTGTATATTTTAAACTATTTTCCTCTTAGGTGAGATTACTTTTCACCAATATAATAATATGCCAAAAAATTTTCTCTCTTCTAGTGTATGTTTCTAAGGACATTGGTAGTACATTACTAAATTTGGGGATTCCAACAAATTTCAAATAAACACAGCAGTGTATCTAAAAAATTCTCTTTGAGGGCACCTGCTTGTTCTCTTAAGCCCTCTTTCCAGTTTACTCAGGGCTTGCCTTATGAATTTGTATGAACTCTTTATAAATAAAAGATATGAACATTTTATCTCTAATAATTATTACAAATATTTCCTCACTTTGCTTTTCAACTTTATACCCAAGTTGATTCTTTTCTTTTGACTTAATATACTTAATTTTTTCAGGGTAGTTTTAGGTTCATAGCAAAAGCATAGAAGATACCGAGATTTCCCATATATCTCCCTGCCCCCATTCATTCATAGCCTCATCTATTAAGAACACCTTCCACCACAGTGATATATCTGTTACAATTGATGAGCCTACATCAACATATCATTAATACCCAAAGTCCAGAGTTTATATTAGAGTTTACTCTTGGTGTTATGCATTCCTTGGGTTTGGACAAATGTATAAAGACATGTGTCCCCCATTATAGAATTATACAGAGTAATTTCATTGCCCTAAAAATCCTGTGTTCTACCTGTTTATCTTTCCCCCTCCCCTGTCCCTGGAAATCACTGATCTTTTTACTATCTCTATAGTTTTTGCCTTTTCCAGAATGTCATATAGTTGGAATCATACAGTATATATGTAGCCTGTACATAGTACTGTATGACTGGCTTCTTTCACTTTGTAATATGCATCTAAGGTTCCTCCATGTTTTTTCATGGTTTGATAGCTCATTTCATTTTAGCACTGAATAATATTCCAGTGCCTATATGTACCACAATTTAATTTTTTATAATTTTCAATTCTGAAATCATTTAGGATGCACAAGAAGTTGAAAATTATAGTTATCATGTATATTCCACTCAGTTTCCCCCCAATAATATGGTAATTAATGATAGCACCTGATTAAACCACCTTGTTTAGTTTTTTTTTTCCTTTGTGTTTTGTGTGTGTGTGTGTGTGTGTGTGTGTGTGATAAATATCCTAAATATCTAGGATATTTATCACATATATAGATTAGATTTGAGTAATCATCACTAAAATTTGGATAAGAACTGTTGCAAAAATAGTTTAATATTCATCATATAGTTCATTATATAGCTACTAGAAACCCGGTGCACAAAAATTTGTGCACTCCGGGGGGAGGGGGGGGGTCCCTCAGCCCGGCCTGTGCCCTCTTGCAGTCTGGGACCCTTCGGGAGATAATGACCTGCTGGCTTAGGCCTGCTCCTGGGTGGCAGAGGGCAGGCCCAATCCCTAGGTGCAGCCCCTGGTCGGGCTCAGAGCAGGGCCGATTGGGGAGTTGGGGCGCCGCCCCCTGTCATGCACAGAGCAGGGCGGATTGGGAGGCTGTGATGCCACCCTCAGTCACGCTCAGGGTAGGGCCGATTGGGGGGTTGGGGCACTGCCCCGTCACACTCAAGGCAGGGTCGATGGGGAGGTTGCGGCGCCACCCCCTGTCACGCACAGAGCAGGGCCAATCAGGGGGTTGGGGCGCTGCCCCCTATCATGCACAGAGCAGGGCCGATCAGGTGGTTGAGGAGCTCCCCGCTGTCACTCACAGAGTAGGGCCGATAGGGGAGTTGGGGCACCGCCCCGTCACACACAGAGCAGGGCCAGTGGGATGGGGTTTGGGGCGCCGCCACTCTCACACTCAGGGCAGGGCCGATGGGGAGGTTATGGCTCTACTCTGTCACACACAGAGCAGGGCCCATCAGGGGGTTGGGATGCAGCTCTCTATCACCCACAGAGCAGGGCTGATCAGGGGGTTGGGGCGCCTTCCCCTGTAACGTACAGAGCAGGGCGGATAGGGAGGTTGTGGCCCCACCCCCTGTCACCCACAGAGCCGCAGGGCGATCAGGGGTTTGGGCGCTGCCCCCTGTCACGCTGATCCTGGTGCCTGGAGGCCTCGCGGCTCCGCTGATCCCGGTGCTGGGAGGCATATTACCCTTTTACTATATAGAATAGAGGCCTGGTGCACGGGTGGGGGCCGGCTGGTTTGCCCTGAAGGGTGTCCTGGATCAGGATGGGGGTCCCCACTGGGGTGCCTGGCCAGCCTGGGTGAGGGGCTGAGGGCTGTTTTCAGGCTGGAACTGAAGCTCCCAACTGCTCCTTTTTTTCTTTTTTTTTTTATTCTGGGCCAGCTTTAGCTCTGAGGCTCCAGCTCTTAGGCCTCTGCTCCTGAAAGCAGGTATCTGGTTTGTTTTGGTTCTCGAAACTCTGTATCAACTCCAGCTCTGAGATCCCAGCTCGCTGAAAGCTGGTTTCTGGAGTTTTGTTTAGCGTCTGTATTTGTTACAATGTTTGAAACTGCAGGCTCAGAGGCCTGCAGCGGCAGGCGGGGAACGTTGGTTTCCTCTGTCACTGAAGCAAGCAAGCCTCATGTTAGTTTCAAGCTGCCTGGCTGCCGGCCGCCATCTTGGCTGACAGTTAATTTGCATATTGCCCTGATTAGCCAATGGGAAGGATAGCAGTCGTACGCCAATTACCATGTTTCTCTTTTATTAGTGTAGATACTGCAGTTCTGTTTCTCCATTCACTCCATGTAGGACATTTTGGTTGTTTCCTGTATTTTACAATTACAACTAAAACTGCTATGAACATTTATGTACAGATTGTTCTGAGAATATGAGTTTTCATTTCTCTAACTTAAGTACCCAGGAGTGTGAATGCTGGGATACAGTGTTTAACTTTATAAGAAATTGCAACGCGGCCGATTTGGCTCAGTGGTTGAGCACTGACCTATGAACCAGGAGGTCATGGTTCAATTCCCAGTCTGGGCACATGCCTGGGTTGCAGGCACAATTCCCAGTGGGGGGTTGTTCAGGAGGCAGCTGATCAATGATTATCTCTAACTGATGATTCTCTCTCTCTCCTCTCCCTCTCTCTCTCTCTCTCTCTCTCTCTCTCCCCCCCTTCCATCTGAAATCAATAAAAATATATTTTAAAAAAAAAACCTGCCAAACTGCTTTCCCAAATTATTTTTTTTAAAAAAAATATATTTTATTGATTTTTTACAGAGAGGAAGGGAGAGGGGTAGAGAGTTAGAAACATCGATGAGCTGCCTCCTGCACACTCCCTACTGGGGATGTGCCCACAACCAAGGTACATGCCCTTGACTGGAATCGAACCTGGGATCCTTAAGTCCGCAGGCCGACACTTTATCCACTGAGCCAAACTGGTCAGGGCCCAAATTAATTTTTAAGGGGTCAAACCAATTGATCTTCTCATTAATAATTTTCTTAATTACATTATTATCCTATCTAATAAAAGAGAAACATGGTAATTGGCATACGACCGCTACCCTTCCTATTGGCTAATCAGTGCAATATGCAAATTAACTGCCAGCCAAGATGGCGGCCGGCAGCCAGGCAGCTTGAAACTAACATGAGGCTTGCTTGCTTCAGTGACGAAGGACTCCAACGTTCCCCGCCTGCCGCTGCAGGCCTCTGAGCTGCAACTCTAAGCAACTATGTGACAAATATAGAAGCTAAACATTAAAACCCCAGAAACCTGCTTTAGTCCGCCGGGCTTCAGCCAGCAGGATTGCAACATTGTAAGCAAAGGCCAGAAACCTACTTTCAGCAGCGGAGGCCTAAAGCTGGAGCCAAGCCTCAAAGCTAAAGCTGGCCCAGAATTAAAAAAAAAAAAGGAAAAAAAGGAGCGGTTGGGAGCTTCACTCACTTGCCAGCATGAAAACAGCCCTCAGCCTCTCACCCAAACTGGCCAGGCACCCCAGTGGGGACCCCCAACCTGAAGGGTGTGTGACCAGCTGCAAACAGCCATCATCCCCTCACCCAGGCTCGCCAGGCACCCCAGTGGGGACCCCCACCCTGATCCAGGACACCCTTCAGGGCAAACCAGCCGGCCCTCACCCGTGCACCAGGCCTCTATCCTATATAGTAAAAGGGTAATATGCCTCCCAGCACTGGGATCAGCGTGTGACAGGGTGCGGCGCCCCAACCCCCTGATCAGCCCTGCTCTGTGGGTGACAGGGTACAGAGCCCTAACCCCCCTGATGGGCCCTGCTCTGTGCGTGACAGGGTACAGAGCCCAACCCCCCTGATGGGCCCTGCTCTGTGAGTGACAGGGGGCAGCGCCCCAACCCCCTGATTGGCCCTGCTCTGTGCGTGACAGGGTACAGAGCCCTAACCCCCCTGATGGGCCCTGCTCTGTGCGTGACAGGGTACAGAGCCCCAACCCCCCTGATGGGCCCTGCTCTGTGAGTGACAGGGGGCAGTGCCCCAACCCCCTGATTGGCCCTGCTCTGTGCGTGACAGGGGGTGGCGCCACAACCTCCCCATCGACCCTGCCTTGAGTGTGACCGGGGACGGTGCCCCAAACTCCCAATCGGCCCTACCCTGAGCGTGACTGAGGGTTGCATCACAACCTCCCTATCACCCTGCTCTGTGCATGACAGGGGGCGGCGCCCCAACTCCCCAATCGGCCCTGCTCTGAGCCCAACCAGGGGCTGCACCTAGGGATTGGGCCTGCCCTCTGCCACCGGGGAGCAGGCCTAAGCCAGCAGGTCGTTATCTCCCGAAGTGTCCCAGACTGCAAGAGGGCACAGGCCGGGCTGAGGGACCGCCCCCCTCCCCCCGGAGTGCACAAATTTTTGTGCACCGGGCCTCTAGTTATTATATAAGATTAAGATTTAATAAATAGTATCACTTTTATTTTCTTCTGCTTTTAGAGTGTATTTTTAACATTTAATTCTTAATCCACCTAGAACTTAATTTAGTGTATGATCTAAAGCAAGGGTCTAAG